CGGGCATGCCTATTTTGGCAAGCCAAGCAAGCTTAGGCTTGTCTGTCGAAACGAGTTCAAACCATCCAAGGGTTGAGCTTTGCGAACCAAGACGATGCGATTGCCACCTCCAATCCGAAATGAGGAATTCATTGAAACACGAACTCTAGAATTCAAATTTTTTTGTGAAAGTCTTGAGTTGAAGTTGATAATCATTGTAAATACTCCATCATTTAAAGTGTTATTCCGTCAACAACATGTTTCAAATGGAAGCTTGATCCTCTAAATAATCTGAAAAATTTAGAAAGCCAACAAATTAGAAATTTCAATTAAAAAAAAAAACGGTGTTTCCTCATTTATCTTAACAAAGAATATTATTTTCTGGACTCATTTCTTTTCATTTCACCATTAAAGAATATGAAAGATATTTATGACTATTCCATGATATCCTTTTCTTGACCCAAATTCTATGTATGAAAGTTATCTTTTAAGGTCTCAATTATCTATAATTGGTGAGTTAATTATTCCGATGGCCACTGAACTTAGGTCCATATCTTTTATTGGTCACTAAAGTTTAAAATGTCGAGTTTTGGTCACTGAACTTAGGTTCATATTTTCGATTGTTCACTAAAGTTTAAAATGTCGAATTTTGACCACTGAATTTTCAAAAATGTTCTACATTCCTTACTGAACTTTGAAAAATATTGCAGATTACTCATTGAACTTTAAAAAATGTTGTACATTATTCACTGTAAACTCGATATTTTTCAAAGTTCAAAAGTTATATTAGTGAGTAACGTACGACATATTCCAAAATTCAATGGTCAAAATTTGACATTTTAAATTTCAGTGAGCAATCTAAGATATGAACCTAAGTTCAGTGAGCAATCGAAGACATAGATCTAAGTTTAGTGACCAAAACACGATATTTTAAACTTCAGTGACCAATCAAAAATAATGACCTAAATTCAATGACCATTAGAACAATTATCTTGCAATTGGTTGATGAAAATTGACTGAGAAACTGCAATCATGAAACACTATTGCGTATCCTTGACAATTGACTAGAAGAAACTCAGGGAAAAAAACAAAAATAAATAATAAAGTAAAATTAATCATAATAAAATTTTTGGCTAAGCTTAAAAAATTTACTTATACGTAAATAAGTAATTTTTAGACTAGTTAAAATTTTCAATAATCCTGCACGCAGAATTATTTCAACAGAAGAAAAACAGGATACTCATATGGGGTGGAACTCATGTGAGTTTTATATTGGAAAAAAAACACACTACCCATCCCGTGTATGTGTGTGTATTTTGAATTTCTTTATAGATTGTGTTCAATAATCCCTGTACCCATAGCAACACTAAAATTTTTTGGTAAAAGTTGAAAGCTAGTTGCTAGATAAAAGTTATTTTTGAGAAGTATAATTTTTAAAACTGAGTTATCCATGCATAACTTGAATACACAGCCTCACTTAAAAAGCATTTTTGGCTAAGTTAAAAAATGTTATTTATAATTAAATAAATAAGCTTTTTTTAGAATAATTTAAAAGTTGAAAAAGTGTTCTTATTGATAAGTAAAAGTTATTTTCTAAAAATGTAATCTTTACATTAAACTGAGTTATCCGTACAAATTTGAACACCTAATCTCCCTAAAAAATAACTTACTTTTTTTTTTTTTTTTTAAACTTAGGCACACATACCCTTGAACTGAGCTAAATACTGAGCCAAACATGTTTTCTTTTTCTTAATTTTAAGGTAAAAACAAATAATTTTCATACGTGACTCTTAAATCTTAGTATCGTAACAATTCTAATAAAAAAACTAATTTTTTTAGCAAAATCAAACAAGAACTAAAGTTTATATATGTATATGAAATGTGTGGTTTAAGAGTTAATAAAAGTGGTAAATTTCATGAAATGCGTGATTAAAATTAATTGTTGATTTTGACTCACATTTTATTATGATTGAAGCAAGATAATTGCAAAATGAAATAAATCAATCACAAACAAGAATATCTAGACTTTACGTGAAAATTCAAGATAGAAAAAATCACAGACAGAAGAGGAGGATTCACTATATCAAAATCAAGATCAATGATTGTTGTACAATGAAACTTTTATGTAATGGTGTGTACGCATACATATAAGTTGCGCATTCTACTCTCGTTCGACTCCCATTATTTCAAATTAAAAATTTTCTCTATCTTATTTCTAATCACACAATCTTTCATAAAATAATATTATACGTAAATAAAAAAAACATTTCTTTCTTTTTCAAATACATATTCTCCAAAAACATAATATTCCAAAAATAATAATACCAAATAATTAAGGTCAAATGGCACTTCTAATTGCTCTGTCCAATTAAAAAGTGAATTTTTTGTAGGGTTTTGTCGTCATTTTTTATCCCGCAAATGGATGGATCGTAATAAGTAGTAAAGTGGACATTTTGAATCCGAATTATCGTTCCCACGAGAACTATACATTAATACTCAAATTATTACTTCTGGCTTCTATTTGACGAAGATAAACGAGAACAATGATTAAAAGTGATTTTTATTATAACTACTTAAAAGTTCGTGAGTATAACATAAAATGAGTGAGAATTCAAATAATAATTGGGCATTAGGGTGGAATAACTTCACCTATTAGTCACATTTACTTCTAATATCGAGATTCATAAAATTTAAAGTAGTGTTTGGTCGAATTCTTCTACGGTATTCAATTTACCACCATCGAGTTCTCATTGAGCCTATTTAAATAATTTAATTCCATATCTGTATGCGAATCAACATTATTTAAACGAAATAATAGTTCTAAGAATTCATATAGAACCGCAGCAATTAATATAGGTATCTCTGCACGTTATATTAATTTACCAAATTTTAATATGTGGTCTAAACAAAAATCCACATCTCTACGCAATTATTGTTCACGAAATCATTGAATAATTGGCCAGAAAATTCAAAGCATTAATAACATAATTAAAATCCACATATGAAATTATAACGGACAAGAATCTCAAATAAAAGAAATAAAGGTTCTCAAATCAGTTATATTGTTCGCCCTAAAATCAGATTAGCTCCTCATATTAATAAAAGAAAAATAAGAAATTATTATGAAAGACATCATCGGGTTTTGAATAAGAATGTAGAATAAGAAATCAATCTTGCACCAAGATATTTTTTCTCTTTCAATTTATGCTTCAACCCTTGAATTGCTTGTTCTCCTCTTGAATTCTTCTTTTTTTTATTTTTGATTCTCCAATTATATATCTTACCTCTCAATCTGTGAAGAAGAGTCCCCCCAAAAGTGTGAGAAAGATGTATTTATAGATGCCTCCTCCGTTTGTGTAGAAAGTATGGTTTTTATGGACTTCAAAACGGCCCAAAAACGCGTTCTAAACAATCCCGACGCAGTGCCTAAGCGCTACGTCTTTAGAGCCTAGGTGCTGACGATAGCGCTTGGGTGCTATGATTGCAGCGCATAAGCGTGGTCTCTCGAGTTCAAGTTTCATTTTTTTAAGTTTCGTAGCGCCTAGGCGCTACAAATGCAGCGCCTAAGCGCTTTTTTTTTCCTCCAATTTCCTTATTTTTGATCTTTTCATCCGCTTTAATTCCCATTTTTGCATCGACTTTCCTAATCTTCAAAACAAAACTAACAAACACATTAAAAGCGTTCTATACTTATAAGATCTAGCAAATAATCAAGATAAAATTGTGCAAAATTTATGAGCCAAACAAATTCATCAAATATCCCCAAACTTAACCGTTTACTAGTTCTCGAGCAAACAAACACACCAAACAATAAAATCATCCAAGGACGATACACACTAGCATGCAAAAGATAATTGGTTGGACAATCGAATTTTTTACTTCAGGATTTGAGATTTTGATTTTATTCCACAAACATGCTTCAAGTCACAATACCAAACCAATATCTACTCTTTCAGTGCAGAACTGACATATGTGTGTGTGAAGAATTAAGAAATCAACCATGATTACAAAAGTTGCTTCAATTTCCGTCCCTCTGTGGTCAAATATACCATACACTTCTCGTAAGATTCATGTAGCCCCAAACTTATACTTTTTCACTCATTCCCAGTGTGTAACCTAAGGTTGAATATTTCATTACTATCCTCACCCTCTCGAGTTCAGGTGGATGTTACTAATTGCAAGTCAACACTTAAGTGAACAGGGATTCTCCAATTATTCGATTGCTTTGACCGCCACGACTTAACTAGCTAATTATCTTGCATCAAAAGGAAAATGTTCTCAAATAAATGTTAGGGCTTAATTAAGATATTTAGTGCTTTTGCTCTTTTCATGCACTTTTTTTTTACAAGTTATTTTATTTATTTATTCTCTCCATTAAGTTTTCTAGATGACCTATGTAGCAGGCTTTAGGCCATGACTCCCAAATCAGATGATTTTAGGGCACCAGATTTTAAACACCCTTACAGGCTTATTGGCCTGAGTCAAAAAGGTTTCAAAGAGAACAAATTTTTTTTTTTCAAGTGCAACTTCATCTCTGATTGCTTTTTGAATGACTCCTATAGCGAGCTTTAAGTCGATGACTCCCAAGTCAGACGACTTTAGGGCACCAGGTTTTAAGATACCTTTATAAACTTAATCACTCTAGTCATAAAGGTTTCAGAGAAATGATTAAAATTTTCAAATGTATATGCCTCGATTAGTGCAATGCCCCTTATCACACACTTATTCAAAAAAATCGACTTCTAACTTGAGACTCTCACCTAGTTTTATCATGTTAATCTACGACAATCCATACATAAGTTTTTACACATGGAATCCAAATTCACATCCGCATCTATCGACAACTGTAAAGTCACCGTCAAACTATGCTAACTTTGGTCTGAGGATAAATAACTTACTTAGTTTAGGTAAAGCATTTATATCCAATTAAATCAACCTATCTAACAAATGAATCAACTCGTTTCATCACATTTTTAGACTCAATTCTGGTGCACTTATAATATCGAGTTTTCAATGTTAAGTTTCAATCAATCTAGTATGCATCATATCCACAGTTCATAAATTAATACCAAATCTCAAAATTAATTGTAAGCCAAAATGTCCAACTCAAAAAATTTTAGGTAGGCAATTAATAATAATACACTTCACTCTCCCAAATTTAAACTAAACATTGTCCTCAATGTTAAATTTAAAGGAAAATGAGGACTTCCTTGAAATGTTAGTATTGCCTATGATATTGTGGTGTCTTGGTGTTGCATTTGATCGACTCTTCTTCCACATTCTCCCCCAAACTTGAGATTTGTCCCATTTTCTCCAGGTCAATGTTGGTTTAAGTATTCCGCGACGTCATGTTCCTGAAAAATTAGATTTGAGAAATTAAACTCATGGAACAAGGGTTACTTAGTTCAAACATCTAATAACCAACTTAATTACTCAATGACCTAAGGGTAAACGGGATATGGGTAATGTCTCCTAAATAGACTAATAAACTAAACTATCTTATAACTTGAAATTAAAATAAATAAAACAAAAAGAAAGCTTGGGTTGCCTCCCAAGAAATGCTTCTTTTAAGTCATTAGCTAGACTTTTGCACAAGTTTTCATGGCACTTTGAATATGGTTTTGGAGCTCCTGCTCAGCTTGCTTAATTTGACTTTGTTCCATATCTCGTACATTTTCCAAACTCTTACATTTACCTTTTGAATACGATATGACCTGCCTAAATTGTCTATTTCGTACTCAATCAAATATACTGCAATCTTTTCATCATCCTTAATCACAAATTCAATGAAGTTAGAAGTTTGCACGCTGATCCCATCTTCATTGAATGCAACTAATTCATCTGACTCCTTCACGACTAATTTCTTGATTTCCACCTGTTCTACATCTTTAGTCGTTAGTTCCTCGGGTTGAATGATGAAGAGATCCTCCGTTGGCATGTTATTCGGCTCGTCCAGAGTTATTTGATCTTCAATCTTTTTACATCTTTGTATGATGATGTCTCCAGTAATTATTTTATTGTAATCAAAATATTCTTCATATGGATAACGTTCTCTCACTTCCACTGGAGTTGCCAAATATGAGCAATTTTTAGTATAATGAGAAACACCACAACATTCACATATCAGTCTGATCTCTAGATAAACAATTGATTTGATGTTTAATCCCTTTGGCCAACCATCCTTACCAAATTCGATAGGCTGATTATATCCCAACCTTTTAAGTTCTTATCTGACCAGGAATTCTCCAAAGAGCATGTCATCTTCTTTCAAGTCGGAATTAATCATTATGAAATTAAACCTCTTGCTTCTTCTTATTTCCTGTAAAAAAAGAAAAAAGAAAAAGAAAAGATGGATCAATTGAACAAAAAAAGAAAAAGAAAAGAAAGAAAAAAAAGGAAAAAAATCAAACAGAAGTAAGAAATAAATAAACCAATATTAAAGAAAATAGTCCCTGGCAACGGCGCCAAAAGCTTGTTGTCAATTTTTATCCCGCAAGTGGACAGATCATATAAGTAGTAAAGTGGACCTTTTGAGTTCGAATTATCGTTTCCACGAGAACTATACCTTAATACTCAATTTATTATTTCTAACTTCTATTTGATGAAAATAAACGAGAACAATGATTAAAAGTTATTTTTATTCTAACTACTTAAAAGTTCGTGGGGGTACAACAGAAAATGAGTGAGAATTTAAATAATAATTAGGTATTAGGGCAGAATAACTTCACCTATTGATCACCTTTACTTCTAATATTGAGATTCATAAAATCTAAAGTAGCGTTCGGTCGAATTCTTCTACGGTATTCAATTTACCACCCTCGAGTTCTCATTAAGCATATTTAAATAATTCAATTCCATATCTCTATGCGAATCAACATTATTTAAACGAAATAATAGTTCTAAGAATTCATATAGGATCGCAACAATTAATATAGGTATCTCTACACATTATATTAATTTACCGAATTTTAATATGTGGTTTAAACAAGAATCCGCATCTCTACACAATTATTATCCACGAAATCATTGAATAATTTGCCAGAAAATTCAAAGCATTAATAACACAATTAAAATCCACACATGAAATTATAACTCAAATAAAAGAAATAAAGGTTCCCAAATCAGTTATAGTGTTCGCCCCAAAATCAGATTAACTACTCATAGTAATGAAAAAAAAAAAAGAAATTATTATGAAAGACATCATCGAGTTCTGAATAAGAATGTAGAAGAAGAAATCAATCTTGCATTAAGATCTTCTTCCTCTTCCAATTTATGCTTCAACCCTTGAATTGCTTGTTCTCCTCTTGAATTCTTCTTTTTTTATTTTTGATTATCCAATTATGTTATCTTGCCTCTCAATGTGTGAAGAAGAATCCCCCCAAGAGTGTGAGAAATATGTATTTATAGGTGCCTCCTCCGTTTGCATAGAAAGTAAAGTTTTTATGGACTTCAAAACGGCCCAAAAATACGTCCTAAATAATCCCGGCACAGCGCCTAAGCGTCGCGTCAATTTAAACGCATCGCCTAAGCGCTACGTCTGTAGCACCTAGGCGCTGATGATAGAACCTGGGTGCTAAGACTGCAGCGCCTAGACTCTGTCTCTTAAGTTCAAGTTTCATTTTTTTTTAAAGTTTCGTAGCACCTAGGCGCTACAAATTCAGCGCCTAAACGCTGTCTTTCTGCCACAATTTCCTTAATTTTGATCTCTTCGTCCGCTTTAATTCCTTTTTTTGCATCGACTTTTCTAATCTTCAAAACAACACTAACAAACACATCAAAAACATTCTATACTAATAAGATCTAGCAATTAATCAAAATAAAATTGTACAAAATTTATGAGCGAAATAAACTCATCAGGTTTAATTCAGTTTTTTGACAAATGGTAGGATGTAGTAAAATTTTGAAAGAATTTCCGTTAAAATATATTTGTCTCGTTCTACTAAATTGTTTCAAATATTATTAACGAATGAAACTTTAACAAGATAAGGCAGTAAATAAGAATAATACTTAAAAGTAAATGTTAAAAAATTCACAAATATGTGGTGTAACAAAAGATTTCCGTGGTGGCAATGTAGTCTTCCATAGGTAAAACAATCTAGGAGTAGGTTTAAATAGGTTTTTATAAAATTCCAATTTCTTTTGCTAAAAGATATACATTTCGATTTAATTTGGACCTTAGTTCGAAACTACGACCGATCTCCTGCAGTTGTAGATTCCAAACCATTGATATGACATAGAATTTGATTGGATAAGTATGTTGATTGTTCTTAATTTATTTGAAGAGAATTCTTAAGTAGTTAACGTTATTTGACCAGTTAGCCAAGTATAATAAAACATGCATTAAACCAAAATTAATTAAGGCAAGAAACAAGAATTTAACGTGGTAAACCCGCTCTTACAGACTAAAAAACTTCCACTACAAAAAAAGGGAGTCATTACAAATTTTTTGAATTAATATAATTATTTACTATTAAGAAACTAAAACAAAGAACATACTCTTAATTAAGAAACAACTAAAAACCCTTCCCTATATCAGTTTTTCCAATTCTTTCATGTAGAATTAATGCTTTTTTGGAAGGGATTTTGAAAATTGATTTTTTGACCATTAGAGATAAAATGGATCCTATTTATGAGAGAAGAATTAAAAAATGACGACTAAAATGGTAAAATAATAATAAAATATTATTTTAATTGAATTAAAATCTTTACCAAACACGCTTCCACGAAACTGACTTCATCCTTACCCTTTGCCAATTTGACGTTTTACAACGAAAGTAAAGGTTATCTTTATTTACGCGCTTTCATATCCTATTTCTCGACCCAAATACAACGTATGGAAGCGACCTTTCTAAGTTCCTAATATTCTAGAATCACTTTATGACCATAGACTAGGAAAAATTCATACTGTGGAAATTCTTAGCAGACCTTTGAAAATTGATTAGGAGAAACTGACAAGAAAACAAGACTAAGAGTGATTGATGCTGTCAGTAAACAAGACTAAGAGTATGATTGATGCTATTTTTTGCAAATAATGTATTTTTAAATAGTGATTTGATGAAAAATGTGTGATTAAAAATTAAGAAAAAAATGTGAATTCACGTGTAATATTATTTTATTAAAAAATATATGATTAGAAAGAAAAGAGAGAAAAATGTATTTTAAAAAAAAAAATGCTTAAATATTCAAGTTAGATTAATCATAATAGGTATGTTTGGTTGGGATAAAAATAAAAAATAAAAAGATGTTTACTTGTAAGTAAACAAATAGGTTTAAATTAATTTTCTTCTTATTTGGTAATGCTTGCAAATATGTAATTTCAATGTCTTCACTGTAAAATAAAATGTTATTTTCAAGAAGAATATTTTTTTATTTAAAGATGTGTTAAAAGAAAAGTTTGGAGATAAAAGTAACTTCAACTTTTTAAAGCTCAGGTAATCATACTATTATATTCAGTAAAAAAGGGTACGTATTTCTTACTTTTAAGTAAAAAAAATTTTAATTTATTTTTTACTTTATTCAATATAAGTAACTTAGCCTCCATTAGATTTTTTTTTTTTTTTTAATCACTTGAAAAGAGGAATAATGGTGAGTATCACTAAATGTCATGATAATAAATGAGTAATAGCTATAAATATGTTATTGAAATTAATATTTAACTTTGACTTAATTTATAAATTATTTATAAATTGGCTGCAAAATGGAGGTGGTTGATAAAACATTATGTATTTCATAAGGTACTTATTATGTATAAGTAAATTACATAAGCCTAAAATTATATTCTTAGCCAAACATAAATAATAGCAACCGGCAAGCAACCATGCCAGCAAATTTTTTGTTGTTTATAATTAGAACAAGTCTTGTCACCATTCATAAATTACCTTTGCAAAAGAGAAGTAAGTAATTCACGAGAAATCCACAACGTCCCGTTATGGATTTGAATCCAATCACACAGGCCATGTATTTATTAGAAAGAAAAAGAAAAGACATTATGTTACGCCTATTCCAATGAAACTCTAAGCATTGCCGATCCTAACTTTCAAGTTCACGCATTATATAACTATTCATACATGAAATTGGGGGGCCATTGTTATGCCTCTTCCAATGAAACTTTAAGCATTTTCAATCCTAACTTTCAAGTTCACGCATTAAATAAATATTCATACACAAACTTGGGAGACTATTGTTACGCCTCTTCCATTGTCAAATGGCATCTCCATCGTAAGAGAATTGAGGCCCGCACTTCACATCATTCTACACAGGTAGCAATTTGGCCGAGCCGCCATGGAGGGCTGAGCCCCCATGAATGAAGCGAGGAAGGTAGAGGCATCTTAGGGAAGATCTTCATATAAGATCTTGTAACAAGTGGGGTGATGTGACAACTCTCTACATGGACTGCCCAACTCAATAAACAAGTCAAGTCAAGTCTAGTCTAGTCTAGTCTTACATGTCAGGTTTAGAACTGCTAATGGTCATAACATTATATGCACTTGAGTCTAAGCCTGACTGATTGATGCCTATAACAAGAGGCCCTAGCCGCCAAGATGAGGCCACTTGTCTCTTCATCCAACGGTTCTTATTCACCTTCTTCTATTATAAAAGCTCACACTTGATATTATTTCAAAGGTAATGCAAGTTTAGACTTTTATACTATAACTTTGTTTTTTGCATTCTTTACTCCCAATACCGACCCCCTTTTTATATTGGAGGCTCACGTTAAAAGCCCTCCCACACTCATATATGTCTTCCCACAAACTGATTTGACCGTCGGAGTATGCGCGGCCGGCTCCAACCCCATCGGAGAAGGCCACGTGTGTCTAACGGTTTGTCTTAGTGTGCATGAATACGACTTACTTGGACATGAGAAGTTTTGAAATCTGTTGGCCATATCTGAGGTTTATTTTTTGAGTTCAACAAATACAAAACCAAAAAAATACCAATATAATTTCATCAACTTCATAATGAGAAGATCCAAAACTGACTCCAGTTTTTGGTATTCAGATATATTCCGATCAAATAAGCTGTGTTATTATTTTACTTCAATATATAGAATTTCTTGTGGTATCATTCAACTGGTAAATATTCAATCTGGATTCTAGAAGCTGTAAAAATTGGAATATGTTTGATATAAAAAAAGCTAAAACGCATCTGTCAGAAATTCTAATCTTTATCTTATTCATGTCCTTTGAATGAGACGCAAAAGAATGCATAGATTATTCAAACGAAACAGATAGTCAATAATGGCGTGCCAAGATAATGAATTTTAAGCTGCAGTATAGTAATATGAGAATGGCCTTATCCACAACACCGCACCTATAAAATACCTCTTCATGTTCTGTTTTCTAACAAGCTCTCAATTTATATTCACGTCATTTTTCTTCGAGTCTTCCTAGGTTACACTATTAACGAAAAACATGGGTATCTCTAAGTTTTTCCATGAAATCAAAGCTAAGGCTTCTCACAAGAGGATGTTCAAGGCTGTGATGATTGAAAACGCCGACGTTTTGCCGAAAGCCCATCCACACATCAAGAAAATCGAGACAATCCAAGGAGATGGTGGTGTTGGAAGCATCAAGAAGACAACTTTCAGTGATGGTTAGTCTACTAAACAACATCACGTAAAACGAATAAGAATATTATAATTTATTTGCAGTACTGAGAGAAAAACGCTATCTTTAATCCTGTTCAATATTATCAATATAGCATTTTAAATATTTGATAAGTATGTTATTACAAAAATTAAAAAAAAAACAATAAAATATAAAAAATTCTTAGGGACAGACAATATAACATCGTCGTTGCTTATGTACAATGTTGTGTAATCTAGCATACTAAATGTGTCATTCTTTTTTACATAATCTGATGAGCATATATGTTTTCCCAAAGGCAAGTACATGAAGAACAAGATCGACCATCTGGACCCTGCAAACGGCGTGGCTAAGTTGACTTTATTTGAGGGTGACGTACTTGGAGACAAAATTGAATCTATTAGCTACGAGGTGAAATTTGAGGATTCAAAGGATGGAGAATGTGTTGTCAAGATCAACACTGAGTATCATACCAAGGGTGATGTTGTACTAAAAGAAGAGGATATTAAGGCAAGCAAGGAACAATCTTTTGAATTCTACAAGGCTTATGCAGATTACCTAAATGCCAATCCTCATGTTTGTGCCTAAATATTTTTCAGTTATGTCTTGACGTTGTGATGTATAATGGAAACACACATGTTTCCCTATTTCCCTATTTCAGCAAGAGTGGTGTTTTTGCCTTAATAAAGAACTTTGTTCTACTTTCCTTTGAAGTCTTCTTTTTTTATTTTTTTCCTCCATCCCACCGCCGCCCCCCCTAAAACGACTATATATTGCATATTTTATTAATAGCAAAGACAAAACATAGTATATACTTAGGAGGGAGGTTCAACCACACCCTCCAGCTGAAGATAATATATATATATATATATATATTCTCTAGAAACAATATATAAAATGTAAGAGTTAAAAGAAAGCACACTATATACGCTCTGTCATACTCCCCATCATCTTTCAATAAGTGGTCAATCATGCTCCTTATTATATTTGAACTCACTACATGAAGTTTGTTCTTTTCGACTAATTAAATTCATGTTTCTATAATCAATTCGATCCCCCGATTGAATCGGGCGCAAACTGTCATCAAATTTTCCAATACTAATCAAGAATTTTGTCATGACCCATACCGAATCATCCTAATAAATCCAACACCTGTCATGCGCCGATAGTAGATACCACTTAAGTATGGGATCCACCACCAAGGCAACTATATCCTGCTTAGATTGTGACATATTTCTATAAAAATTTGACAAAATTTCTTCTGAAATATGGACTAAAACCACGTGAATAAAACGCAATTTCTCAACCTTGTACATATAATATAAAATATAATACTCTAGTCCCTCAAAATACTAATTATTCAAAATAAAATACTTACAAATCGATATTTACTTACTTTACAACTAACAATCATTAAATGTACTAAAGATGCCAAATATGTAGTGTGCCCATAGAAACATGTATTATATAAACTGATAAAGTAGGTCATACAACTAATGACTTGTGGCTCAATTCAATGGATCGACAAGATCTAAAGCTGTTCAACTCGATTGCTATTTGATAAAGAAAAAGGTGATAAGATAAATGAGCTTATAGCTTAGTGAGTGAATAATTTGCAAATGAGTATATTTTTTCATTTATACATATTTTTTGAAAATTCCTACTCTGTTAAAACTTTGAGAAATCCAAAAATTTAGTAACACTTTTAAAACTAAACATAATTTCGTCATACAATTCTTTGTTCTTATTCTAGGTAAGCAACTATAAGGTACAATAAATATGAATAATCTGATATCAGTAAATATAAGTGAAAATATCATTTCACATAACTATAAGTTGAAATCATAACTCTAAAAACTAGATAAGCTAAATTCTATACTTTGTAATCAGATAAGTTGTAGAAAAAAAATAAAATAAAAATTCACACCAAAAATGGTACCCAAAATAACCTTAATCATGTATCGATTAGTACCGTTACACATGGCAAATCTATTCAATTTTGAAATTCTGGTCATATGCGCACAGAGCTGCCTGAAGGCTATAATCTAGTCATACACTATGGAAACACATTCACAATAGTACAAAGCAGATAAAATCACCATAATTGATCATACACTGTGAAAATACATTCACACCAGTACAGAGTAGGTAAAATAACCATATGCAAGGTCGGACCTAAGGAGAGGCCCAAGAGGCCTCGGCCTCAGGCCCAACTTTTTAGGCAACCCAAAATTGTGTTTTCCTTCTTCATTTCATTTCTTTTTTTTTTTTTTTTTAAACCCACTATGTGCACAAAAGGGGGAAAAAACCAAAACGGCAAAATCCCGAGAAATCAAAAGGGTAAAAATCAAGAACAAAGAAGAACGACGGTGGAGGTCGGAGATTCGGAGCTGATGTGATCGTCATCACCATCAATAGTTCACCTCCCAATTTCCTCTCCGTTGACGATGGTATTTTTCTTCAAAATAATCTTGTATTGTATTGGGTGATTGGTATGGATTTTTCCGAAGCATCCTACATTTTTTGGCATGCTTTTTATTTAAATCGCAGTGGCCTGAGGGCTGACATATGCATTAGATTGAGAATTGAGATTAAACAATTTGGTTCTAATTAACTTTACTTATTCAGAAAATCACCAGCTCCGTCCGCTGTTTTGTTTGAGGAGAAAAAGTAAAAGGCTGAAAAGGATTAACTTTTGAGTTTTGGTATTGAATTGCATGGATTTAGGCATTTAGCTTTGTGTTGGAACTACATTGAATCATTGATATTATTTTGATTCCTGGATTCTTAGATGTTCTTTCATGTATTTAATCGGGCAATGGGCAGCAACTGAGGCTTTATGTGAAATTTGAATTTCATAGAGTTTAGACATTGAGGCAATCAGATCCTGGAGCTTGGGTGCTATTTCTGTGATTATCAAGAGAGCTGGGAACTGAAGGTCAAACACTTGAAAAAACCATCACTGGACATATGATTAGAAGTAGCTACAGGAACACGATGAATTTAAGTTATTAGTTTTCTCTTTTTTGGAGTTGATAACTAATTTATATAATAATATTCTCTTGAGTGGCCAAGACAATTTCGCCTGCTGATCCAGTAATGAATGTTAATTGTCCTCTGGCAGTTCATATTACTCTTTCATGTCCCTCTATAAAAGTATGGATTTTTGACTGCTATGAAATAATCTTCTATACTCAGGTTACTCTTACATTTCATTAAATCTAATTTATTAACATTTTGTGAAACTACAGGAGAGTTGATTGATATAATTTTTGTTCTAATTTTACAGTTTACGAAGTGTTAGATGTTGAGTGACTTGAGTCAAATACCATACCTCTAATTTTTGTTGCTTCATTATTGATTTTAAGTTAATAAATTTAATTCCTTAAAACTCTTATAAATTAAAAGGATGAATTGCTTGCTGTGACTTAGAAGCTCAAATTCTAAAGTTTGCCTCAAGCCCTGCGAAACACAAGTCTGGCTAGGGTTGGCAACGGTTCGGTTATGGGTCGGTTCGGCCAAAACCATACCGCACCACCAAATTTTTGACCATACCATAACCGCACCATAACCACGTAAATCGATTCGGTTCGGTTCGGTTCGATTTTTATCTCGGTTCGGCACGGTTCGATTCGGTTAATAACCACGAAAATAAATTATTTTTTATAGGTTCATCCGTCAAATTGATATAAAACAATTTATGAAAAAAGTCAATGAAAACAAAAATACAATATTTCAAACGAAAATGCAAACATTATCAAGCAATATTCCAAACGTAAATGCAAACATTATCCTAATTTTCAATTGTAAAATGCAAATTTAACAAACAATATTATAAATATAATAATACTAAACTTTTCCTTCATTCTTAATTGTTGTGCATTGAAGTTACTTGATGCATTCTTCCCTACAAGTCTTATTAGCATAGATCAGCATTCAAAGTTGATTCCTATTCATCCTTGGCAATATTGGCACGTCTAGAAAAACATCGAACTCTGTTTTTACATGATCAGCAGTAATAGAATGACTAACAAATGTAACAAATTTTCGTAGGCGACGACGATTTGGACCATAGAGGCAATGGAGCCGTGCGTGAGTTTTTGGTTGTGCAGAGTAGGGTTTGTATTTATATACTGTCATACTAATGTTATTATGGGCTAATGGTAAGTAGATTGGCCGAATGAGTGAGGTAGATATAATGAGGAGGGGAGGGATTTTGTTTTGATTTTGATAGAAAAGTAGTGTAAAACCCATTATCAATTCAATTTTTTTTTAGCGGGTAGCCGGTTCGGTTTCGGTTCGACGACGTAAATACCATACCCGCACCATTACGAACCGGTTCATTAAAATCAAAACCATATCCGCCCCATTGCACCATCGGTTCGATTTTTTTCGCCCCATTCGGTTCGGTGAACCGCGGTTTTCGATTTTGACGGTTCAAATTGCCATCTCTAAGTCTGGCCCTGGTGTTATGGAGCCACACACCGTGGAAACACATTCACACAAATGCAAATATGGGTAAAAACTCCTATATACTTTCTGATAGTTTTAAAAATAACTTTAAATATATTGAAATATTTATATTCATTTAGCATGCAAATCAAATGATTTAACTAAATTGGATTTAACTTTAAAAATAATTGATTATAAATCCACTTTATTCTAAAATTCATGTTATCAAATCAACTAAATGAAATAATAAATTTTCGGATCTGATATAAATTTAATAAATACTAATTTTTGAAAAATAAGTTTATATCTACTCACCAAGTTAGAGATTGATTGTGATTTCAATCTTCTTGTCACCTCCTCACATTCAAATACCAAGTATGACATCTTGCACTCCTCCCAAGAAACCATATCTCGTCACTAAAGTGCTTTAAGCAATTTTTCCTACCATTAGAAATGATTATTTACTGATAAGCACTTGGAGTATTTTATTTTCAATGTAAGGTAATAATCTCAATTAGGGTCATAATAACATAACGACCTTTATATAAGTTACTTCAACATTTAATCCCCAATATTTAATACTTAATTTGGTTTTCACACTAAAAAATCCAAGAAAATCAAAGATAACAAAAAATAGCACTGTATTTCCAGAATATAGAAATCTGGCACCAATTTCTGTATATTGAACTGCCACCAAAACCATTGACAGAAATGGCACCTTCTGGGCAGAATTTCAAAAAGAGCACTATACATGAATTTTGCCCGAAAATTAATTAGAAAAAAAAAAAACCAAATCCAACCTCAACTCCTTATCTCATTGTAATGCCTCATAAATCAAGTATTTTATAGCATATACACAATAAATATAGAGATTTAGGCTGTGATTTACAAACCCATTTCATATTACTCTAACATATATTCAACTCCAATATCTATTCTTTCCTCCAAATCTTTAAAGTTAGGCCACTAATTACAAACCCAAATCTAACAATATTGAATAACAATGAGTTTTCTTACCTCTTGGAATAGAATGAAAGAAATGAACCTTGTACTTGAGTCCATATTTCATCTTCTTCAATAATCTCTTTTTCCTTTCCTATTTCCCATTTTTTCTTATCATCTTCCCCCTTTTTCTTTCTCTATCTCTTCTTTCCTTCTCTACCTCCTTCTCGATTATTCTCTCAGCTTCTCTGCTCGTTTTATCCCCAAATGGAAAAATAGTGGTACTAACTCATAATTGCAAAACAAGTCCTCCAACCTTCATTTAAAACCACATTAAATCCTTGTCTTTCAATTCTATATAAGTCGATCCCCAAAATTAAATTTTATCCATCTTAAACCCTCAAAATATTTTTCATAATAAATTAAGCCCCAATAAACTAATTTATTTCATTTTAGTCCCTATTGACTTTGACTTTGATAACTAAACTTTTAATTTTTGACTACAAAATATTGAGTTGTAACAAATTTAGTTTATAGTTTTCTATTCCGAGTGATATAATGAATGTTTTGAGTTAATTGAGACAAGCACGTGGGGCTTGTTTTATATCCCTATTTATCGCCAGAAACACATAGAATCTAAATCTTCACATGAGTCCCCTAATCACTCAAATTCTTAGAAAGTTATTTTATTTATGTGCCATCATATCCTATTTCTTCACCCAAATTCATCGTATGAAAGTTACCCTCATAATTTCCTAATTCTAGTGTCACATGATGTGACAATTGACTAGGAAAACCTGAAATCGAAGAAAATCATAGCATTGTCTTTGAAAATTCACTAGGAGAAAGCGAGAAGAAAACAAGAATAAATAATCGAGTTAGATTAATCATAATAGATATGTTGGGTCCTGATAAAAGTTTACTTGTAAGTTAATAATTAGTTTAGATTAATTTAATTTTTATTTGATTATTTTCAAAAATATGTAATTTAATTGTCTTGACAGCAAAATATAATGTTATTTTGAAGAATAATAATTTATTATTATTTTTATTTTATTTTGAAACGCATTAATAATAAGTTATTCAAAAATAAATAAATAAATAAAAATGGTTTGGAAAAAAAAGTATTACATAAAAGTAAATTTATATTTTTTAAGCTTAGCTAATCATACTATTATATTTAGTAAATCAAATTATGTTTTTCTTATTTTTAAGTAAATATATTATTTTGAAGAATTTTTACTTTACTCATAATAAGAAACATAGCCTCAATTCGAAAAATTTATAAATCTTTATTAATAATGAGGAATAGTTGCGAGTCTCACCAAATGTGTGGATAATAAATAAGTAATAATTTATGAACATTAATTGAAATTAATCTTTGATTTTGACTTAATTTATAAATCATTTATCAATTGATTGTCAAACGGAGGTCTAATTACATTCAATAGCAACAGATGAAAAATTATTTATTTCATATGTTACTTATTATGTATAAGTAAATTATATAAGCATAAAACTTTTTAGTCCCAGCCAAACGAAAATAATAGAAACCCAATGGCTGCAAATTTGTAGTTGTTTATAATTAGATCATCTTATCATCATTTATCATTACCCTAGCAAAAGAAATATAAGTAATCAACGAGAAATCTGTTGGAAAAATGGTTTTAGTTAAGCAAACTTGAGCTTAGTTTTACGTGAGGCTCTCCAAAATTTACAAGATCAAGCATTCACATTCTACTCCGTGAGATGATTGACATGATATATTTATTTATTAAAATCATTGATAATTGAATGAAATATTTGATTCCAAATTTACCCTCTTCAAAATTTAAATTTGAAATTGCTAAATTCTTGTCCACATTTGAAACCTTATGGTATATAGTATGGTTTATAAGGTGAGAGCTGACAATTGGGTTTGGGTTTCAAGGGTACCACATTTGAAAGCATGTTTAGTCGTGGGAAAAATATGATATATAGTATGAGCTGTTCAAGGGTACCACATTTGAAACCTTGTGATATATAGTATGAGTTGTTTTATTATAAGGAATGTGAGAAAAATATGGATGAACTTCATAATGATTACTTATTATGGGATAATTTGTTGCCTAAGAAAAGAGTTAAATGGATATGTACATTCAAGTATGTTTATGTGATTTGAGAAAAAAGGGGAGTAGAGAATGGTAGAGTTGGAATTTATTTAGATTAAAAAATTAATATAAGAGATCTGGGTGGCATATTGATGTGTGAAAGGTTCATATTAAAAATATGAAGGTTGTTATTTTGTGATCTTAACTAAAATTGATATAATTAAAAGTTAGAAGGCATATGGTACGGCTATAAGTATGTGATGGTGTTATATGATTACAACATGATATGATGAGTATGTAAATGAACATAATGGTTGTCATATAGCAAAATAATGTGATGATTGATTTGGTTATTAAGTTAATTCATTTTCTTAATGCCATTTTGCTGGATTATTGTGTTATATTCCATACAATTTGGAAGCGTTGAGTTAACTTTTGAGGCCAAGGTGAAATTATTGAAATTTTGGTGATATAATTTTTAGGTCATTTTCAATTTTATTTTAGGATCTCATGAATAAAGTATTTCATTTTTATCGAGATGTATTTGCTACGAAATAAACGGATGATATGTTGGAAAATTTAAAGTTTAAGAGGATCATCAGATGTATGTTTATACATTGTGGAATGATATCTTTAGGTTACATTAACTTCAATAAAGGTCTTTATCTGACATACAAAAAGACTTATGTATTGGTAATAGGTCCAAGGCCTCTATATGGAATAAGAGTGTAGCATTATCATGGATCAAATGTTATTAATGTCTCTTCATAGAAAGAAAGCGAAAAAAAAAATGTGTTGGTTTAGAAAGGTAAAATTTGTGCCTACGAGGAGCTTGAAATTGATTAAATTTTGAGGAAATATTTGCTCACATATCTAAAGTTGATGAGGGTTTGATTTATGATAATGAATTATGCTAGGGTTTGGAAAGTGTTTTGAATAAACGATAAATTATGGATTATAAGATAGATTGTTGAAAATGCATGATTAAAATATGATTTAGAGTTGACTATTTTAGTATTGACATTTAGAATTATAATGTTATCACATGGTGAGAAATACGAATACTTACCAATCACAAAAGTTTAAGGTATATTTGTATTCGAAAGAATTGAACATGAAGCTGGCATATAAGACTCGATACAAATAACTCTTTTGAGGTTATATGATACTTGTATATTTCAATGGCTTATTTATTGGGATGAAAGTTACAAAAGAAAGCTATTGAATCTTAATACCACTACAACAAAACAATGATTTAGCGATAAGATTTTTTGCGACATACAAAAAGTTGTCGCAAGAAGTGACTTAACGCGACACATTTTTAAAGTTTGTCGTGAAGATTGTGATGAAAAAAATATGTACCAAAAACTATTTTACGACATAAAAAGTTGTTGTGAAATGTGAGATGTTGCGACAAATAATAAAGATTGTCACCAAAAATATGAGGGAAGCAAGGCACCAAAATATTTTTGCTGTGAAATTTATGGCGACAAACTTCTTTTCTTGCAACAAAATGCTTATGATGCAATAGGGTCTCCTCTTGGCGATAAAAAAATATTTTTTTCTAAAAATTCTATAGTTGGAGGAAAAAAAGGCTACAAGAATATAACTTTTTTGCAGCGGACAAAAAATATTGCAGTAGATTTTTTACAATCCTCACCCATATATGTCGACCCTAATATTGTCGTAGAGTTGAAGGATACTGCAATGTGCAATACATGCCGCAAAAGACCTCAAATGTAAGTGTTCATGAAATATTTCTTTCGACTTAAAATTATTGCAAGTGTATGATTCGTTAGCAAGTAATAAAGTTGAATGTTAAGTTCTGAGTATCGTTACACAGAGATTGAGTAGTTTAATTCTAACTATTTTAACCTTAATCGAAACAAATTTTTCAAAACAGGAATTTATTCTCAGAAAAACCCTAATTTAGTAAAACCCTAATTATTGAAACTTGATGATTGGAATGAACTCAATATGCAAAACAACATTTTATAGAATTAAAATGCAAATTATACGTTTGGAATGCAAATTGGCTGTGTTCAATGAAAACTAAAAGCACTAGAATCACGAATTTCTATGTAATGATCACTCTTAACCCTAATTTCACAAAATGACAACACGATTAAATTATTGACGAATCAATGCTCCTAATTCTATTCAACACTCTCTCTCGAGATGTATTAAACGTATTCTTATACACCACCGGCCTATATCTCTATAACAAATGCATATATAAGAATGCATGTGGTTTTATGAACATCTAAAGATTCACGCAAAGCATAGGGGTATATCTCTATCCCGTATCGGACCCTACGTCGATTTATACCTTGTCAAATTTATTTCTCTTCTCTCGAACAGATAAAATAAACCACCAAATATCACATAATTACGTACACTTAATTATGGAGGAAAATTATTGTATATAAATCATTCAAACATTCAAATACATGTTTATTGTCAAATTGCAAACTAGAAATTAAAGAAATTATATCATATTGTACATTGATCTCCCAGTACATGAAAACCTAGCCCAACATGAAGAAAATTACAAAATACACGATAAATTGTAGAGAAAGCATCACTAGGTTATGAATTTGCTTGAAATCTTGATGATCTTCGTGTAAGTTCTTGTTACTTTAGCTCAAAATCCTCTCCAAGATGTGTTTTCTTGTCTCCCAATGCGTTCTGTCTCGAAATATGATAGCTTTAGGTTTATTATATTGCTTCCAAATCACGTTCCAATAGAATTATAACACAAAACAGAAACTGCAGAATCGTCCCGAATTTTTACACCATGCGACCGCATGGTTGAACCTATTTTGGGATTTTAAATCTCGGGTGGGGGTTGTGCGATCGCATGGTTATAACACCATGTGACCGTATGGTGTAAACCTTCCAATTTGTGCTGTTTTAGTCCACAAACTCAATCCTCTTGTTTATTGGCCTCTTTTCTTCGACTATTTTATTCCATCCTCTCATATTGACCTCCAATTGGTACTTGTTACTATCAATTCTTTGATTGCTCCCTTGGCTCATCTTGTGGATATATGCACTTTGGTCCTCGAATTATCACTTTGATTCATTTTGGTCCTTTTCACTTATTTTTCTCGTGAATTCCATCAACTCTATTAGAAAACCCTACAATCCAAGACTCAAGA